CTATCCTCCTCCTCCTCCTCCTCCTCCTCCTCCTCCTCCTCTTCCTCTTCCTCCTCCCTCATCCCTTCATCCCTTCCTCTCGCGACGTCGGCGACGCCGCTGCCGATGACGCTCGTGACGGCCAGCCCTGCGAGGCGATGGCGGAGGCGGTCTCCCAGGGCTGGTTGGTGGTGTGCTCCATGGACCTTCGCAGGAACGGTTTTCAGGGACCCCCCCCCAAACGGGAGGGAGCAGGAGGTCGAGAATGAGAAAGGGGAGGAGGAGGAGGAGGAGGAGGAGGAGGAGGAGGAGGAGGAGGAGGAGGAGGGGGAGGAGGTGGTGGAGGAGGGAGGAGGAGGAGGCGGGATCTGTGTGCGTTTTTAGTAGGGGCGCTGGCCATGTACTACTAGCAGCAGTACTATAGACAAGGCTATGCACCATCACCAACTGCCGTGCTCAACTCGTACACTACGTAGTATCATCACAGTAATAACCTCAGCTAGAGCAGAAAACATGATGCTACCACCTCGAGCGACATCAGTCCGATCCAATGTTGGCGCAACACACGAACATGTAGCCATTTATCCTTTAGCAATGATGATGTGATCGGGGCAGCCTTGGGACCCCAAGGGCCATAGGAAGAGGTCGAAATTGCTGTCGGGGAGACATTTCACCGATGCCAACCTCAGGGTGGGAGGAAGAGGACGAGGGTGATAGGGGAGGGGGAGGAGGAGAGGTGAATCTGACTAAAAGCAGTTCGCTTGTCAACTTCGCAAAGTCAGATCGATGTCGGGAACCCCCGTTCTCACAGTCGTGACCTTCTTGGGACTACCCGACCCAACTCCCAAGTACATGTTCGATACCAGCGTATACGTGGTTTGTGAACCTCGAAGTCGCGAGCGGCGACATGTTCACGCTTCTGTTTAAGCGTAGCCCGGCGCTCTCTGGGGCTTTCACTACCGTCAGAGAGCCAACAAAAACCCAGCAGGCACGCGCGCGCCTCTCGCGCACGTGGACCTGCCAGCTGGTGGCGGCGATGGCATCGACGGCGACGGCGGCAGTATCTCCAACTGTTACTCTCGGCTGCCCCGCTGCTAGTCAAGCAGGAGGGCGATCGCTGGCACACATCATTCTCACCGGCTAGGCTGCGCCCCATACGCGAGCAGCAGGCCAAGCCAGGCTGCAGTCTCAAGTTCTCGAGCGAGAGATCCGCGCAATCGCGTGCCAGCAGGACAGCCGAAACTAATTTGCGCGGCCCGCCGGCGCGGCCCGCAGTCTGGCAGGGCTCATTCCGACGTCGGAAGCCGCGCAGCGGCTGCACACGTCTGAAGTCTAGAGGGCGACGCATCACTGCGCAGCCACATCAACAAGTTCTTGCTGCTTCGCGTGTCCTCACCAGCCCATCCAAAACGATCCCTGGACGACTTGCATTGCTGAAGAAAGCGTCGCAATACGCAGTGGACGAGAGGGGGACATATCTATAGTTATATGTATGTATTTATGTATGCATGCATGTGTGCATGCATGCATGCATGCATGCATGCATGCATATATTCATGAATGTATGTATGCATGCATGCATGCATGCATGTATGTATGTATGTATGTATGCATGCGTACATTCGTGTATGCGTATAAATTCATGCATGTATGTATGTATGTATGCATGCATGCATGCATGCATGTATGTATGTATGTATGTATGTATGTATGTATGGCTGTCTATCTGCCTGTCTATCTGTCTGCATGTATGTATGTATGCATGTATGTCTGTACGTATGTATATATGTATGTATGTATCTCTCTCTCACTATATATGGGTATGTATGTGTGTGCGTGCGTGCGTACGTGCGTGCGTGCATACATGCATGTATGCATGTATGAATGTATCTATGAATACATATGAATATATATATACATGCATCTGAATTTATTTGTTGTGTACATATATGCATGTATACGTTTGTAATTTCACACTGATATGCCTTCGCGACTTTGTCGAATGAGAAGGACGAGGAGGAGGAGGAGGAGGAGGAGGAGGAGGAGGAGGAGGAGGAGGAGGAGGAGAAGAAGGACATGCTGCTCGATTTCCATGCTCGGCTCTCTCGGCGGCGGGAAGACAGAGCGTTCTCTGCTGCTTCCCTTGGTGCTGCTGCTGGTGCTTCTACTGGAGGTGCTGCTTCTGGTGCTGGTGCTGCTGCTGCTGCTGCTTGTGCTTCTGCTGCTGCTGTTGCTGGTGCTGCTGCTGCCGGTGCTGCTGATGCTTCTGCAGGTGTTGCTGTTGGTGCCGCTGCTCGTGGTGCTGGTGGTGGTGGTGCTGCTGCTGGTGCTGCTGTTGGTGGTGGTGCTGCTGGTGGTGCTGCTGCAGGTGCTGCTGGTGCTGGTGGTCAAAGCGGGCACCAATTGTGAACAGAGAGATGGGGTGAGGGCCTCCGGAAAACTCTCTGGGTCCATCTCTGGGGCCCGTGCAAGGAAGGCGAGGAGCAGGAGGGGTGTGGGAAAGGGGGTTGGGAAGAGAGCGCGAGTCTCATTCCCAAGAAGTCCCTTCGATAGGCAGCAAATAATTCTTTGTCCTATTCATCTGCCGCACGGCCAACCGAACGAACGAACAACTGTCTCGGCGCGCAGTGCTAGCTTCGCTTGCGCGCATCCTGGCTTCCTTCCGTTGCTTCCTTCGCTTCTTTCTCACCCTCCTCTTCTTTTTCCTCTTCCCCTGCTTCGACTTGTCCCGCCCCCCCTTCCTTTCCAGCTCGGAGCTGTCACGGCGCGCGAAGAGCGCAACCCAAAGGGCGTTGCTGTAATTCTTTGGTGTGCCACGAAGTCTCGTGTAATTCCTTTGTGTGCGGTCTGGTTACACTGCCAACGCGGGGGGGCATACGAAGGAATTTCCTTTGTGTGCGATCGTTTTCGCCGCCCCCACAAGAGCACGCGCGATTCCTTTGTGTAGAGCTTGCTTTCCTGCCCCGAGGAGCGCGCGGGGACTGGCGCTAGAATCACAAGGCCGCGGCGCCTGGCAGTGCGATGAACCTGCGCCGGATACCACGGCCAAAACGATCCTACGTGGATTTCGGCTCTTCTGCCGAAGTCGCGCTGGCAGCTGGCCAGCCACATCGCCGGCCCTGCATGCCCGCGCGCGCTACTGCGTTCTACTGCCGCGACGCGTGCTGCTGTCAACGGATGAACAAACTGACGTTGCACGGCGATTTGGCTGTGCCAAACCACCATGGAATGTTTGTCGGTAGCGGATCTTGGGATCTCGTCGCCGCCGACAGCCTTGTCACACCATACATGTCAATTGCATCCTAGAGCACGCCCGAGCATCAACCCTGGTTCGGATCGCTGGGGATGCAGAGGCATGTGTGCGCATGCGTTGCACCGTTGGTGGTGCCAAAACCCTTTGCATGAAATTCCTTCGTGTGTTTTTTTTTCTGGCTCCTAGAAGGGCGGTTGGGATTTCAACGGAGCGGGGCGACGTTGCCGTTCGACGTCATAGCGCCGAGGGTCGGGTGGTCTGCGCGACGGAAGGTGGGCCGAGGGTTCGCAGCCAATTCGGAGTCGCGGTTGAGTTTGGCCGAAAACGAGGCGCGCTGCAGGAAGGATTCGGCCACGCGCACGAGGGGGGCTTGTGAAGGGGGGGTCATGTGGCTCCAGAAGGTGCCCCAGGGAAAGGGACTTCCGAGACGGGCGATGCCGATTTCTCAAGTCCGTTCGGCTTCGCCCACAAAGTCGCCGCGCGACGCCTCCGTTCGCATTTCTCGAAGTCTCAGGTGCAACGCCGCGGTCTCAGAAGTCCCTGTCGCTGGCGTCCCTTTAGGAAACGTAGCAGGACGGCTTCTTAGACGCAGCCCTGCTCAGAAAGCGCGGGCCTTCTCTATGGATGTAGGGCCGGCGCCTTTTAAGTAGCAGCAACCCTCTAAGAAACCTGCCCCTCTCCCCCTAACCCCCTGTGCGCGCCGCCAAAGGGTGGGAACACGATGAATACCGAACGGGATATAGACCAATTCTGCCGATGCCGAATGCGGCAGGGCCGCTTGACCCCTAAAAGCGGTCGGCGCACGCGCTGGAGCGAAGAACTGATCCCAGTTCAGCAATGCCCGGACCTTCGGGTGGCTGGGAGAGGTGAGCCTCTCCATGAAGGGGAATAAGACGGTCGGAATAATTAACTCGTGAAACCACCTACTCCCTAACAGGGTGGTGGGGTTTGGTGAAATGAGGAGAACGATGATGATGATGATGATGATGATGATGATGATGATGATGCTGATGATGCTGATGATGATGATGATGATGATGGTGGTGATGATGATGATGATCATGATGATGATGATGATGATGATGATGATGATGATGATGATGATGATGATGATGATGCTGATGCTGATGCTGATGCTGATACTGATGCTGATGCTGATGATGGTGATGGTGATGGTGATGGTGATGGTGATGGTGATGATGGTGATGGTGATGGTGATGGTGATGGTGATAATGCAGCACAGTGAGGACGAGGTTGACGAGGATGAGGACGGGACGAGGAGGAACATGATGAAGATGAGCAGGCTGACGAGGAGGAGGAGGAGGAAGAAGAGGATGATGAGGATGATGACGAATGCGGTGAGGTGCGGTGGGGAGGGTATCACGAGAAAGAGAGGACCATAACGCTGGAGAAGGATAGTGGGGAGGAAGAGGAGGAGCAGGAGGAGGAGGAGGAGGAAGAGGAGGAGGAGCAGGAGGAGGAGGAGGAGGATTCTGCTACGAGGATTCTGCTACCCTGATCTGCGGCACTATGAGCAAGAGAGCGCCGCCGGCGACAACACGCCTCTCCTACCCCAGGCCGTCTCTGGGCGACGAAGTTCAGCTTTAAGGACCCTTCTTGAGGCGAGTGCGATCCTGAGCCCTTCTAGACTGATAGATGACGACGTGGACCCCCAGCTATCCCCTCGGTCTGCCGCGCAAGCCTTGCACCCATTGCCATGTCGCGCGCGAGCGGATTCCAGCGCTGTAGCTGATGACTGCCTTCTCGCACGAGCTGGCCCCATCAACGTTGCAGCTGATGAGGTGTGCCTCTCGCTTCTCGCAGAGCAGCGCTAGGGGTAGACGTGTCAGGATATCGGGTTCCATCTTCACCTTTTCCCATCCCTGGAGTAGCGACATCGGGCTCTACCTTCGCCTCCCGCTTCTCGCAGCAGGGTGTCGAAGTTAGAGTTGGGCTCCATCTTCGCCTCCCACTTCTCGCATAGTAGTGGCTGAAGGCTTTGCTTGATTCTTCATGGGCTCCATCTTCGCATCCAGCTTCCGACATCTCGTCGGATGCAGCTGACGGCGTCGGGCTCGACCTTCGACTTGCCGCTTTGCGCAGCTCGTCGGCTGTAGCTGACGGCGTCGGGCTCGACCTTCGATAGGCTTTCTCGTGTGGGGCTCCAACTTCGCCTCCCGCTTCTCGCAGTGAGGTGACCACTGCTTCTTGCCCTGATCCCAGCGCAATAGCTGATGACGTCGGGTTCGTCCTTCATTTCTTGCTCCAGCGTATGGCCTGGCTCCAGCTTGTCTTGCCCTGATTTCAGCACTGTAGCTGACGGCATCGGGCTCGTCCTTCATCGCCAGGGGCCTCCGTCCATCGCGTCGGCTGTAGCTGACGGCATTGGGCTCAGCTTTCTGGTTCCCCCTGCTCCGTCGACGTGCCTTGTAGCTGATGGCATCGCGTCCTTCGGCTTCCCGCAGCGCCAACGCGGGCTGCCACTGCTTTCTTTCTGGCTCGCACGAACCGCTCCCAGTATTGTGTCTACCACTGCTGATCTTGGCTAGCCCCTGCTCGCCGCACGAACCGCTCCCAGCAATATAGCTGATGACGCTGCAGATCTTGGCTGGCCCCTGCTCGCCTGGTCTCTCGCACGAACCGCTCCCAGCGATGTAGCTGCTGAGTCCCTGCTGCTCCTGCTTCCTCCCCCCCGAGTAGCGCCATGGGTGACTGCCTCTGCTCGGCCTTTCCGCACGAGCGAGCTGGTCCCAGCCCCGTGGCTGATGACGCCGCCACGCCAGGGCTCTCGGGCGGTGTGTCTTGTGGGTGCTGCCCGCCAGCCGCAGCCGCACCCTGCCTGCGCACCCGTGCCAGCGCCCCAGTGGTCCGCGCCGCCACGCGCCAGGATGACGAGAGGGGGGAAGAGAGAGAAGAGAGCAGCGAGGGGACGGGAAAGGGCACTCCTCCTCCTGACCGCCTCGCGCGCGCCTGATCTCAGCACTGCAGCTGATGGCGTTGGGCGCTGCGCCTCTTGATGAAGGCTCCCACGGACGTGGCCATCACGAAGTCGGCCCGTGGAACACCCGCGCGCGCTCCCGTGCAGGGGGAGGCCGCCTGGGCGCGAAATGGCTAGGAGGAGGAGAAGGAGGAGGGGGAGGACGACTAATAATCATACGAATAATATTAAAAAAGACGACGAAGCAGAAGACTGATAAGAAACCTACTAATACTAAGACGAACCACAATACTAAGAAGAAAACGAGTAATAGCAATACTGATCATATCAGTCATACGAATCACCAGACACATCATATGACTAACAATAAGAACAGTACACATAATGTCACACTACTACTAACAAGAAGATCTATAGATATATATAGAGAGAGAGTAATAACAATAAGAAGATACTCATAGCAATACTAATACGAGTGATAATCCTTGTAACAATACGAATCATGAAATAATAGTGTTAATAATAAGAGGAGAAGGAGGAGGAGGAGGAGGAGGAGGAGGAGGAGGGAGGGAGGAGGAGGAGGAGGAGGAGGAGGAGGAGGAGGGAGGAGGAGGAGGAGGAGGAGGAGGAGGAGGAGGAGGAGGAGGAGGAGGAGGAGGAGGAGGAGGAGGAGGAGGAGGAGGAGGAGGCGGAGGAGGAGGAGGAGGAGGAGGAGGAGGAGGAGGAGGAGGAGGAGGAGGAGGAGGAGGAGGAGGAGGAGGAGGGAGGGAGGAGGAGGAGGAGGAGGAGGAGGAGGAGGAGGAGGAGGAGGAGGAGGAGGAGGAGGAGGAGGAGGAGGAGGAGGAGGAGGAGGAGGAGGAGGAGGGAGGAGGAGGAGGAGGAGGAGGAGGAGGAGGAGGAGGAGGAGGAGGAGGAGGAGGGAGGAGGAGGAGGAGGAGGAGGAGGAGGAGGAGGAGGAGGAGGAGGAGGAGGAGGAGGAGGAGGAGGAGGAGGAGGAGGAGGAGGAGGAGGAGGAGGAGGAGAGGAGGAGGAGGAGGAGGAGGAGGAGGAGGAGGAGGAGGAGGAGGAGGAGGAGGAGGAGGAGGAGGAGAGGAGGAGGAGGAGGAGGAGAGGAGGAGGAGGAGGAGGAGGAGGAGGAGGAGGAGGAGGAGGAGGAGGAGGAGGAGGAGGAGGAGGAGGAGGAGGAGGAGGAGGAGGAGGAGAGGAGGAGGAGGAGGAGGAGGAGGAGGAGGAGGAGGAGGAGGAGAATGACGAAGGGGAGCGGGGATGCCGATGAGAAGGAGCTCCCTCGGAGCCTGCTATCACCCACTAGTCGGTGGGGGTCTACCTGGGGAATCTCCGAGGATTGCCAGGGCTCGACGGGGGGGCGGCGGAAAGCCTGCCCTCGTCGCAGGCTGCAGGACAGGGGGAGACGGTGGAGGAGGAGGGGCAGGAGGAGCGTGAGTAGGGCCGCGGGCCGCGCTCAGGAGCGACGTGTCGCTGGAGGCGGTGCTGCTGCTCTGCGAGGCCCTCGGCTGTTCGGCCTTGTGCTCGCCGTCGTCCTCGTCTTCCTCCCGGTCCCGGTCCTCGTCCCGATCCTCCTGGTCCTGCTTGCCTCCGTCCACGTCCTCCTGGTCGTCCTCTTGGTCGTCGTCGTCGTCGTCGTCGTCGTCGTCGTCGCCGTCACCGTGGCAGCCACCGTCGGCGTCGTCGTCGTCGTCGTCGCCGTCGTTCTGATCCTTTTTGTCCTCCTCGGCGCCGTCCTTCCCCTCTCTGGCTCGTCGTCGTCGTCGGGCTCCTGCCCTCTGTCGTCCTCCTAAGAGGGGCCCCGCCCTGCTCTCATCTCTCCTCGTCTGCGTCCTGCTGGAGCTGCTCTCCGTACGCACGGTGCGCCATGCTTCCACCTCGCGTTTCTGTGGGAGTGCTCTGCGCCTTCGACTGATGTTTGTGTATACGCCTAGGCCCCCTAGATAGGGTCCGAGGACATGGGGTCGGAGGATCGCCCCGTGACGTCGATGCATCGGCGATGCGGCTCGATGTGGAGCCCGATATTCTTCACGCTGGAGTCGCCGATGCATCGCCGATGTCGCCGATACATCGCCGATGCATCCTCGATGCATCGCCGATGTATCGGCGTTGCGGCGCGATCCTCCGACCCCATCTCTTCCGACCCGATCTGGGAGGCCTCTAATGTGCCTGGAGAGGCGGCTGTGACATTGTCCGCGGTCAGCTGACCGAAGCACTTCTGGATGCATACCGACTCGCAGATCTGATGTTTTTGTCTATGTTGCCGCATCTGTTCGAAGTTGCCCCCCGTGCTGGGATCAGGCTGCTTTTAGGTGACGCGCCCTGAAACGACTCTTGGTCTCCGTTGCTCCGCATTTGGTTCAAAATCGTGTGTTGCCTTTTCTTAGTTGGCTGTGCGAAGGGATCCTAACCTCTTCTGTACATCAATACTCGTGGCAATATCCTCACGAAGCGGGGCTCCTCGAGTATACTCCTTTCGTCGCTCTCGCTTCTGGCCGCCCCTGCGAATCAACCCAGTACGATGCAATGCACGACAATGCAATTTAACACAATCACCGCGAAGCAACACAAAGCAATGTGACACACCTCATCGCAAAGCACACCAATGCGAATGTCAATGCGAATGAAATCCTACGCAATTGTTTGCCGTGCAACGCGTTGACAGGAGAAGCATAACAGGGCGCGCAGAGCAAAACCGTTCACTCCGTGTGTCCCGAAGCAAGGAAAGCAAATCATCGCGAACTGACGCGACGCAATCACTGCACTGGTTTGCACTGGGCTGCACTGCAACGTAAAACAAGCAGAGACAAGGCACATACAAAAACGATCCAATGCAAATCGACACGACACGAAACGAAGCCAAACACACCACGCCAGGACATAGCAACACCGAGCAAGTTGTATCAAAGCAAAGCAACGCCGCGGCATCTGGCAGCATACCTCAGCCTCAACTGGTCGTAATATTATGGTAATCTTGCAGTTGGTACTAGGCTCCTGATTGGGGTCACGACAGGCTCGTCTCTGTTGCATCCTCTCCGGAGCCCTGGTACCCTGGCGGGGATGCTCGGGGTCACGCCAAATGCTTGGTTTATCCTGCGCTTTTGCTTAGGTTGCGCTTTGACGAGATCATTTACAGAAGATTCTGCAATCCTGTCGCAGCCGACCGTGCGGCCAACCTTATCGTGGTCCACGTTCGATGGCAATATAGTCTTTAGCGCGCGGTACCTGAGATTTATTTTGGAGAGAGTGCGGGCGACATGGGTGGAGGAGTTGTTGCGTTGCCGCATCCTCTCCGTGCGGATGACATTTCGCTCAGCTAATTTTGCGCGGGGACGCTTGTACATTCTTGCTGTTGTTTTCCAGATCGGACTCTGAAGCCTGCATGGCTGTTGGAGAAGTGGCCAGGCGGAGATCCATGACGGCCACCCTCCGAGCGCTCGCTGCCCGAGAACTCCCGCGGCAAATTCCCCGAGTTTGCAGCGGGCCCCGGCAGCTGCCGCCTCTTACCAGCTCCATCCCGCGTGTGCGCGCCGAGGCGGGGCTCACGCCGTGCCCTAGACGCCCCCTGGCGTGGCATGAGCACCGCAGCCTGCGTCCAAGGCAAGGCCGTCGGCGCCCATGGAGCATGGCTTGGGCAAAGCCATGGCGCGGTCCTGCAATTCTTGGCAGGGCTGGGGCACTGGCTTCAGAGCCTCGGTCGTGTCTGGGTACCTGTAGGTATCCGTTGTCGAGCTTACGAGCACGTGTGTAGCATGACATGTTACGACGAGAGGTGATTGTGGCGCTGGCAGCGGCAGAGCTGTAGCTGGCCCGGGAGTAGTTCTGTCTCTCGAGCCCCAGCTTTCTCCCCCATCACCGTGTGAGCCTGTGAGTTCAGGACGCAATCCTGTTGCATGGCCTCTCGGATGGGTGATCCACTCACCGAGTAGTCAAGCGAGCCCACCGTCTCTAATCCAATTCTTCACGATTCGCGTATCCCCACCAGCCCATCCCAAAGCAGCAGCTTTTGCGAGGCATGCTGGTTGTCGTTGTTTTAGGGCGTGCCTTCTCCTGCCCTCGCATGCACTTCCTTTTTCCTCCTACATCCCGCCTGTTCCCGTTTAGCTCTTCCTTGTGGGAGGAGTGGGTGGGGCACGGGGCCGAGGAGGAGGAAGAAGAGAAGGCGGTGCGAGGCGAGAGGGAGACAGCGGCGACGACGACGGCGACGACGTCGATGACCACACAAACGACGACGACAACGACGACGGCGACGACGACGACGACGACGACGACGACGACGACGACGACGACGACGACGACGACGACGACGACGACGACGACGACGACGACGACCGCGACGACGCCGACGACGAAGACGACGACGACTACGACGACGACGTCGACGAGTCAACCATCAATGCCTTTTCTGGGTCTTTCTGTCTGAGAGCCTCTTGGAGGCATCTTGGGGCTATCCACGGGCCTTCTTGGGGATCTTTTGGAGGTCTTTGGGGCCTTTTGGTGTCCCCTGTGGTGCCTCTTGGGGCACCCTTGGAGCTCGTTTGGGGGGTCTTGGGGCCCTCTTGGGGCTCTTTGGGGGGTCTGGGAGGTAAGACTCAGAAAGGAGCGCGGCGTCAATTTCGGTTCTTCCTTCGGAACCCGAGAAGTGGCCTCTTGGGGCCCTCCTGGGCCGCTCTTGGGGCGCTCTTGGGCGCTCTTGGGCCTGTCTTGGGCCTCTCTGGGGCCTGTCTTGGGGTTCTCTTGGGCCATCTTGGAGCCATCTTGAAGCCTCAAGAGCCCATTGAAAGCGAAAATGAGATCGTTCTTTTATTACTTCCCGACGTACTGCGTGTTACCCCCCGACCCCCACCCCACGTAATGGTGACGCGGGGAAACCGGCTACAGGTGTGAACGCGCGCAGTTTTCCATAGAGGAGGTGGAGGAGGAGGAGCAGCAGCAGCAGGAGCAGCAGCAGGAGGCGGAGGTGGATGATGATGATGGATGGATGGATGGATGGATGGATGGATGGATGGATGGATGGATGGATGAATGGATGGATGGATGGATGGACGGATGGACGGATGGACGGATGGACGGATGGACGGATGGACGGATGGACGGATGGACGGATGGATGGATGGATGGATGGATGATGATGATGATGATGACGATGATGATGGTGATGTTGATGGTGATGGTGATGGTGATGATGAGGATGAGGAGGAGGAGGAGGAGGAGGAGGAGAAAGAGGAGGAGGGAGGAGGAGCTGTGTAGGAGGTGAGAGGGAGGAGGAGGAGGATGAGGAGAGGAGGAGGGAGGAGGAGGAGGAGGAGGAGGAGGAGGAGGAGGAGGAGGAGGAGAGGAGGGGGAGGAGAAGGAAGGAGGAGGAGAGGAGGAGGAGGAGGAGAGGAGGAGGAGGAGGAGGAGGAGGAGGAGGAGGAGGAGGACGACCGACGTGACTCGGAGGCCCCGAGAGGTGCACGCAGACACGGGGGCCTCGTTGGACACACGGTTGTTGCCGCTGCTGCTGCGGCAACAGGTGGTGTACAGAAACGTTGTGTTGCACGCATGCATCGGGGTGCACGCATGGCGAGCTCACACAGATAATGTGGTGAACGCAGGCACGGAAGTGTACACAAGCGCTGCGGTGCATTTGATTGCTTTTTGTACGCGGGCATCGCGGTGTACGCAAATGCAAACTTGCACACGAGCGCATATGTTCTTTTACTTTTACTTTTACTTTTACTTTTACTACTACTACTACTACTACTTCTACTACTACTACTACTACTACTACTACTACTACTACTACGACTTACTACTACTACTACTACTACTACTACTACTAGTATTATTAGTAGTAGTACTACTACTACTACTACTACTACTACTACTACTACTACTTCTACGACCACTACTATTATGATTGCTACTGCTACTACTACTACTACTACTACTACTACTACTACTACTACTACTACTACTTTTACTATTACTAATGTTACTACCACTTCTACCATCACTGCTAATACTGTTGCTACTGCTACTACTACCACTACTACTACTACGACTATTTCTTCTACTAGCCACAGTAGTAGAACTAGTACTACCACCACTACTACTACGACTACTACTACTACTACTACTACTACTATTACTACTGCTACCTACTACTACTACTACTACTACTACTACTAGTACTTCTACTCGTACTTCTACTCGTATTACTACGGCTGCTGTTCATGTTATTTCTACGACTATGACTACTACTACTATTACTACTATACTACTACTACTTTTACTATTTTTATTACTACTACTACTACTACTACAACTACAACTACAACAACAACAACTACTACTACTACTACTACTACTACTACTACTACTACTACTACTACTACTACTACTACTACTACTACTACTACTACTACTACTACTACTACTACTACTACTACTACTACTACTACTACTACTACTACTACTACTACTACTACTACTACTACTACTACTACTACTACTACTACTACTACTACTACTACTACTACTACTACTACTACTACTACTACTACTACTACTACTACTACTACTACTACTACTACTACTACTACTACTACTACTACTACTACTACTACTACTACTACTACTACTACTACTACTACTACTACTACTACTACTACTACTACTACTACTACTACTACTACTACTACTACTACTACTACTACTACTACTACTACTACTACTACTACTACTACTACTACTACTACTACTACTACTACTACTACTGCTGCTGCTGCTGCTGCTACTACTACTACTACTACTACTCCTGCTGCTGCTGCTGCTGCTACTACTACTACTACTACTACTAGCGCTGCGACTACTGTTTGTACTACTATTATGTGTATTACTACTGCTACTGCTACTTCCAGTAATCCCACTCGTACTAGTAGTACTTCCTGGACTACTAGTATTTCCAGTATTACCAGCACTACTAGAGTTACTAGTACTACTCGTACTAGTAGTACTACTAGTACAACTAGTACTACTCGTACTACTAGTACTACTCGTACTGATCGTATTCGTGCTAGTACTAGTACTCGTATTGGTAGTAGCACTCGCCGCGGCGGCCGCTGTTACCGTCGCCTCTCCCCCCTCCCCTTGCACCGAGCTACCTTGAGTCATCGAGGGCTATCTTGAGCGATCTTGAAGGTCTTCTTGAGCTCTATTGGGCTGTCTTGGCGCCATCTTAGGCCAACACAGACGCTCCAACGACCCGAAGGGAAAGAAGGGGGTTGGACAGAGTTGGCTTTTCAAACCACTCACGCCCAGAGGGCTGGTGGGATTGCTGCCCGTCATCCTCGTCCTTGCGCAAGCCGCGATGATGCAGCCTGCGCCGCCTGCAACCCGTGCCATTCGCTGGTGGACAATCATGTCGGCCCGCAGGCCGACCAGTCCAACGTAGAACATACACACGAAAGCGTGTCAGGGCACATCGTCAGAGAGAGTGGGCCAGAAGATGTTGAACGGGGGAAAAGGAAGCGGTGCGTACAGGGCGTCGCGAGTCGCGTGGCGGCGTGTTGTGAGCCGTAGAGAGTAGAAGGGAAACCGTTGTCCTCTTCTTCTTCGTTTCTCCTATCATCCTGCTCCTTTTCTCATCTTTGCGAGGCCTTCGAGACTGTCTCGCAGCAGGCGGAGAAGCCAGAGTTCTGGTGGCAGCAACGCCACCCCCCGCCCTGTTGGTTGGAGCTCGGCGAGAACCCGGGCTTCGAGCCGAGCGAGGCCCTGCGCCTGATCAAAGAGCGCAAGATCCGCTGCTGCATACCCGTCCGCTGCGGGCGCTCGCGCTGCATGCAGGGGGCGCCAGTGCACCTCAGCTGCGCGCTGCGCAACCAGGCCGCCAAGGTCCAGGGCGCGCCGGAGGCTGCCGCCGCGAGGCTGACTGTGGACCCTGGGCCGGTGCACGGCGTCGAGGCCGCCAGGATCGCGACGGCAGCGGCCGCCCAGACGGCGCAGCAGGCGCCCGCCGCCGCCCCCCCGCCAGCGCCGCCGCCGGCGCTGGCGGCCGGTCTCGTGGTACCGCCGCCGCGGGGCACGCCCAGCGAGGTCTGCGTGCAGCCGCCGCTCCCGCCCGGGCCGCCTCCGACGCCGGGGCCCAGCACGCTGGTGCCGCCGCCGCTGCTGTCCGCCGCCATGTCGCCGCTGGCGGCCACCTCCGCCAGCGGCGACACGGAGCTGCTGGACTTGCGCAGCCTCCAGGGTGCCCAGCAGCGGGCCTTCGCGGTGCTCCGCCGCGGGGGCGCGCGGCGGGGCGAGCTGGCCACCTCCCCGCTCGAGGAGCTGGAGGTGCGGGCGCCAGTGCCGCTGAGGGGGGAGCGGCTGCGGAGGGTTCTCGGTGGGGGCGGCGGCCCGGGCGGGGGTCTGCCGGAGGGCCTGCGGCCAGCGGCCTCGCAGAGGCCTTGGCTGGCTCTCCCGCGGCGCTCGACCCGAGGCTGCGGGCCCACCGCGGGCCCTCCGCGCTGCGGCAGAACGGCCCCCGGCGCCCCGAGGTCCGGCTGGCCGCGCCGCTGGCCGTCATCACCACGGGACGCGTGATTGCGCGACGGGCGCGGGGGCCGAGGTCCGCAGACGGCATCTACATACCACCACCGTGCCTGGCCAGGGCCGTCCTGGGCCCCACTATGGTGAAAACGCCCGTCCTGGCATCGGCCAGGAGGGCGTACACACCATGCCAGGGCCCAGGCTGGCCCTGGCCAGCCACGGTGGTGGTGTGTAGATGCCTTCTGCGTACGAGGGAGGTCGGCTGGGTCGATGCGCAGAACCTGGTCGGAGACGCGTGTGAGGAGCGGGC